GTTTCTACCGATGCACGTGAAAGAACAACGCTGCACATTGTGCGAGTCGACGGCACACATGAAGTTTGAAATGCGGAGGTCTCGCCCAATGTTTCCAACTAAAAAACGGGTGAATGGTAGCACCTACACAGATCAAAAGACCTCTTTAGGATTGATCATGACATGGGTAAATCCACAAGGGAAGAATCCCAGGGTGCCGTGATATTGCTAGTCAATTCTGCTTAAAACTGGGTGAGTAAAGAGGGGCGGTGCTGTTTGGTGATGGGGAGGGCGGGGGGCATTTTGCACTTTTGCTACTTTCCAGCGACGTGTCGATCCTATCCCCTCTAGATAGCCTCTTCTCGAGCTGATCGATTCTAACATGATGGCTTCATGACCTTGCTCCAGCTTTATAAGGGTTCACAAGTATCGCCAAGCGAGACTTGTAAACCGAAACTAAGGACGCAATGATAGTACAAAACGCCCCCCCCCCTCCATCGCCAAACAGCGCCAGCTTTAAAGGCAGTTGGCACGATGGTTTCCTACTTAGCCTAAAATGCTAGTAGGGCGCTGTATAGTGGGGAAATGGCGAAAGAACGGAGTGAAACGGTCAAAATCCTGCGAAGAAAAAGCCTCCGTTCTCAGTGACTTGTAAATCGATCGACGAGTTTCCCGTAGGCATCTTACCAATCACCGCTACCGAAGATAGGCACATGTGCTGTACCCCATAGTAGCATTGCTAGCATTAGCGGCCGCTTAATAACAATCCGTTCGCTCATAAGTCGCTTTCACAATGAATGAATACGAGCGTCGAGGATACGGAGTCGTCCATTTGTCGGGGCGCGTGGCGGGGTGTTGGGACGTAAAAGCTGTGGTTTGATAGGGCCCATTATAAGGGCACCTTTTTCGGGGAAACCGCTATGCAGCGCCTGCCCATGGTCGCGGAATTCAATCCTGCCAGGAGTATTGATCCTAGTCGCCTTGGGGGATTTATCGTACCAACCACACTGAAAAACATTCGTTCATCGTCGCGTCGTCGCAGTGTGTGGGAGTTGATGCATTATGGGCACGTTTTGCAGAGTAATCAAGATGGTCTTAGGCGTGATGGACAAAACACGTAAACAGGTTACTTTCTCCCGTTCGGGAATCATGTACTTTGTTTCCCAGAGGAAACAACCAGGGTGGTGCAAAAACGGATCAAGAAATGTTGGAAGTGATTAATGATGGAAAGGACCATAAGCTCGGGAATTCAGACGGCACATGTTCCCTTGACGGGGGATACAATATGTGATCTCTAAAGATACCCCGCGCGATTGAAAACGTGGTGTGTGTGGTCCAGTTATAAAATCGTGGGTTTTATCAAAGTTACCAGTGAGATGAGCCAACAAAACTTTCGGAGACCTTCAACTCTAACAAGGGCCTGGAACTGGGCGAATATTAGGCGTACGAGACACCGATGCATAGGCGGGAAGCCAGAATCAGAGATGAAATAGCATTAAGACGAACAAGAAGAAGGAGATCGATCTCAAACAGAATGAAATCAACGCGCCCCAACCGCTGTCATATCCCGCTTGGATGGGTAAGGAAACCTTAGCCGAAGCACGCTTGCCGTTTACTGTGGAGAAGCGAAGGTGATAGACTCTGAGACTGCCCAGGACTACCTGCATACAGAGATCCTTCTTGAGAGAAGGTTCTGGATTGATCGATGTATTGGTCTGGGAGGGTCAAAATGGAATTTTGAAGACCATCTGGCTCCTACGCCAGAGGCCGAAGAGACGTAGGGTGATTTGAGTGTCAATTTCCTAGCACCAGATTGCATTTCAGCCTCCTTAAAGGCAAAAGCGTACTCGCGAGAAAGAGGACCTCACATTCAGCCAGCAGGCACGGTTTGCCGTTGCAAAGTGCGACCACCCCTCGTAATTTCCTGCTCTAGAACGACCATCCCCCCTCATTGTCTATCTCGCGATACTACCTGCCTCCCTCCCGAGCTCTTGCAATTCCCTCCTTTATTCGGAGCTTTTTGAAGAAGCACACAAAAACTATCGCCAGGGTTTGCAGGGGGGGGGGATATAAACAGCGCCAGGGAAACGGGAAAAATAAGGAAAAGTCAACAATCAGGAACATAGATAGAAGTTCGGAATTTTTAATGGGTTTCTCATCAGAAACGACCGTCAGATGGTGTTCACTGGCATCTAATTCGTATCATAGGGAACTACTTCTTCGTTACTGCCTTTATTTCATGCAACTTTCGATCTTCTAGCTGTGCTACTCATACGCTATGTTTTTTGATACGAATTATCGTGAGTTATTCCTTGGAATTTTCGTTCAAATGAAGCTTTTTTCAAATTAATATCACATTCAGCCTTGCGCTCTTTGTCTGATGCTGATGTTCCAGTGTCGTTCCGTGGCTCTTAAGTTTGCCGAACCAGCGGTATGCTTATCATCCAGTCTCATTTCAGATACTGTTCGGCTTGGGAGGGGCACTTCACTGTTCATTTTGCTTTAGTGCCCTCAGCAAGCCGAACTGCGCTCTCTTTCACTTCAGTCCGACTTCAAGTGATGCGCTCGGAACCTACGGGGAAGTCTGCGGACTACGCCCTGCGGTCTCCCAGTCGGACCTGGATTTTTGGGGTTGTCATTGTTACAAGGGGCGGGCAGCTGTGGGGAAAATAACAGGGCAACATTCGCCAGTTCAGTCCGGATCAGGACATATCGTGGTTGGAGATTCTCCAAGAGGGAGGGGCTCGTATTTCCCTTCTGACCCTCTGAGGGAGGTTGCTGCTGCTCTTCGTTTTTATTGTTTCATATGTATTACGTCCCCTCCCCCTCCTCCCACCGTGCTCGACAACAGGGGCGTATCAGCGGGGGGGGGTTGGCACGGACTTGAGCAAGATCCCCACCTAATGATGTGCATTGGTCCAGATACTGCTGTATTTTCACATCGAATGTGCAAATCTTATATGTATTTCGTGCATGTGACGCCACTTGCAACGTGTCGTAGGAGTATTGCAGATCTCTCGACCAGCAACCCCCCGTGGGCCCACTAGAGGGATGAGCGGCGTGATTCGCGCGTCTTTGAGGCCCTGCCGCATTCTCAGTGTAGATCTTCGATCGAAGTTCCGAGCTGAATAATCCCTTGTTTCAGCATGTTGAATTCTTGAAGTATCTACTTCTGGCTGGGTTGATTTTATATGCAGTGCTTCTCATTTCTTCAGGTTTCTATATCGGTGGGTAAGTTCAGATTTTATCATCGAATCATGGAAAGGAGGGTTTCTGTAAATTGATGGTGTACTCTTTCCATGCTTAGCTAGTACTGTGGTGAAAGGGCATGTCGTGGAATAGCGTCCTCAACGAGGGTCTTGGCCTTTGTGGAAAACGCTTCTAGTTGTCAGTTTTAATTTTTTTTTCGTTTCATGCGCACCATCTTCCCGGCTTTCTATCCTTGCGCTCTGTGATGAGTTCTTGGGATGGAACTATCAGCGAGATGTGAAAAATGCCATCATGCCAATACAACCCCTCAAGAACGAGGATCTTGGCGCAACCGCCCCTCCCTCCCCCTCCTCCTCCTGCATGATCCGCTACAGATTTCGCACCTTTCGCTACTATCCTCAGTCCCTGGCGTATGAGAAATAAAAATAACAAAGACAACAATATTTTTGAGCACTGGTCTGTTTGAAGGGGGCATTTCGCACTCTCGTTAGTTCTTTTTGTTGATTTATGTAAGCAAACAGGTCCCACTCAAGTCAGACCTGTGAACTCCTGTGAAATGAGAATCTGTTTGAGTGAGCTACATCGCTCACAGGAACTGGGGCAAGGTGCTCCAGAAAGATGCAGTCTTTGTTAAGCCATAGCTGAGCGACCATTTCGCCTGCCCCCCCCCAAGCTGAACTACGCCAAATTTTGCCTTGCGATGACATGATTAATAAGCAAGTATGTTTTAGAGGAATTAGATATTACTCAGAAAATAGTGAGCCTTCGGCAAGGCGTTTTTCCAGGAATTTTCAGGCGTTAAGCTGTGTCATTTCGTGGTCCCATTCCAGGCACCGCACTGCTACCTGATCACAGAATTGGTAACTGTCTCCAGCAATTGGAAATCTATACACGACAATATGGTGTTGGAGTAGCTTGGCCTTTAAGTCCAAAATGGTTACTCTTTTTCGTACAGGTAAGAATAGTGAACAAGCCTATTCAGTTTGCCGGATAACCCACTGAAGCGAGATCCATCAACTTTTCAGGTCGTGATCCCGTTGGACGAATCGCATGAGTTCTGCGCACGAATTATGGGAGCGCTTTTTCTAGGAACGTATATAGCACCCTCCCACGCCCTTCAATGGAGTAATATGAGGGATCGAATGGTGGCTGTCGACGCTCGAATCATTGTGAGTCCCCCTCAGAACGTCTTCACATTTTGTTCCCCTACCCTATCAAACCAGTTGCCATTTTAGGCTTGCCTCGGCATAATTTGTGCTCAGCTCTGGTCACAAAGTGCCTACCCCGACTTCTGGTCTAGAGGACATTGGATCGGCATCACATTGTCGGCCACCTGGTGTTTGGTCTCCATCGCCTATCGCATTGCACTCTTCTACACTACTAAAATAAAAACAGTGTGATGTTGATGAAGTTCATTACTGTTAGCTGTACTATAAAGGCTGTTTGACTGTTTTTTTTCTGCACTGAAGGCGCTCAACGTGGGCATTACCATTTTCGACACTTTCACAACCGTAGAAAGCTTAAGAGTTCATCACTGATACTTTGTCCGCGCACATTATTCAGATAGGCTGCGTGTCGCGGTATGCGACGGTCGCCGTTGGGCGCACCTCGCGCCCCGGCCCATCCGCGCTCGGTTCCCACGGCGTGCGCCGTGGTTCCGCCCCCTGCGGTCGTGGCCAGTGTAGTACGTCCCGAGGCTGGCAGCCGGTGCCGGTTGGTTTTCACCGGGTAACGCCAGGACAGCGCCGAAGGCGGAGGGGTGAACTCCGCTCCGAAGCCGGAGGCAGCCCGAGCGCCGGCCATGAGCCGGCCGATGTCCATCCCCTGCTCCCCGACTGGGAGCAGCCTCTACTCCAGCCCCGATCAGGACATCGACGACCGCATGGAGCGATGAGGGCTACCGCCGGCAGGATGGGGGCCATAATACGTATGAGGGGATGAAGCCTAACAGGCCTATTGCGTACTCAGAGGGGCAACGGCCACGGGGGCCTATTACGTGCTCAGCTATGGAACGAAGCCCACGGAGAACGGCGGCCAGGGGAGAACAATCATTGTAGTGCGGTGAGTAGTTCGTTAATAAATGATGTAGATTATTTAATG